GCATCAATGAGCCTAATAGCCTATCTAGCATCGATCATGCTAATGGTACATCGAGCGTTACATAGGGGGATACACCCCCCTCACATGGGAGGTGGAGTCCACTCGAATAAAAAAATATTATTTCAATGGGTCCCACCCCTCAAGTGAGGGTGGTGTAACCCTTGATGTACAAACTTTAATGTACAACCATCATTATCCATCTAGCATAGACCTTTTGCTTATGATATGACATTCATTATGGTATGAATGAATGTTTGTCGTGGTTATCAAATCCTCCCGATTATGGTTTAAAATAAAAATAAAAATATTTTGGACCATTTCACTATGTAGTATTAATTGCTATTTCTAACTTAATTTCCCTCTAATTAGTTCAAGGGGAAAAAAAGCCACAATTTCTCGTGCATCATGAGCATATTGTGACTTATACCCAAGCATCGAACAAAAAAAAATTAACGAATTCTATTCGCTATCGATCAACTAAAAATTCTGGTTGGGGACATACAGGTCTAGTTTGTCAAAACTTAAAGATCACGACTACAATTTTCAGTTAATTTCTAGAAACTGTTTTCATATATTAATGCTTTCGTGTTTCGTAGAAGAATTTTTTTGCCACTGACTAAGATTAAACCAATGATAATTATGATTTAGAGTCGTCAAGGTAGTAATAAGAATGACATAATCCCCTATTTTGTATGATTTAAAACACCGATTAGTTGGCACTTATTTCCTTTCAAAAATTAAGAATTTGTCAATGACACGACATACTAAATATCTTAGGAAAAGGCCAACGAAAATGGAGATAAGAGCATCTTCAAAAGAAATGCAAATTGCGAGAGAAAGAGTAAAGATATATTATAAAATAGTAAATATCCTTCGATAAAAATAAATTATTACAAATTTAAGTAGATGACGTCTAACACTCCTTTCACGACTGACTTTTTGTTGCAATTCACCATCTCATTGGGAGATTGTCCAAGGTAATAAAAAAAATTGAAGTTGACACATGTCCACTTGCCCAAGTGGGTTTATAAATTGTTCTTACTTTTACATGCATTATTGCCATTGCTTGAAGTTAAGAAAAAAATAGCTAACTTTTAGGAAAAGTTTTTGAGTTACATTAAATTAAATCAAGTACAATTTTCTTAACAAAGTATTCTCTCATTCAAATTATAATTCATGTTTTTCCCCTTTTTTATTCGGTACACATTTTTCAATAAAATAATATTACAGTAAATCTAAAACAATTTCATCTTTTTTAACCACACATTCTTAAAAAACACTATATCAAATAATAGGGGCCAAACAGGGACATTCTTATTCTTAATTTATTAAAAGTAATGATATTTAGTCTCACTGGAGTTGTAACCCATAATCTAGGTGGCTTTAAATGATATGTTAAATAAAATGTAAAATTAAATGACTTATTTAATTTCACATATAATTTAATGCAACATTAACACCACCTAAACTGAGGTTGTAATTTTATTGGGGTTACATAACATTACTCTTTATTAATGTCTCAATTGTTTCTTGGTACACAACATGGGTTAAGGTCCAACAAGTCTAATTAATAAAATTCATTTAATACTCAACAGTGACATTATTAATTAATTTATAAAAATTTTTTTTTATAGGGTTTAAAAATGTAACTAATGGCTGTATGAAAAAAAAAAGCAACAAAAGTGAAAATGAAAATAATCAAAGGTTGGAATCGAAAATAAGTGGTGGTGCATTTGGTGCGGCCCAGTAACGCATAAGTGCCAACTGGCTCAGACTGAATTGATTGCAGTGGGACTAGTGCCACCAATCTCATTATCTCACTATCAGCTCCAGTATCTTTCTATGATAGCCACACCTTCCACTATCTTCCACTCTAAACAATAAATGGAGGAATATTAAAATCTAAATTTTAATAAAATAAGTAATTACTTTTAATTGTATATTTCGTAGAATCACAAATTTTTAACCATATATTTCATAAACTTCCATCAAAATTTACTAAAAAATTGATTTCAATTCCCACAGTTCCCCGCAAACAGGGACTTAATAATAAATAAAATAGTTTCAAGAAAAATAAAAAAATAATTTGGAAGAACAATACTAAAATATGACATAAAGAACAATTAGAAAATTATATGTTGTTCTTGAAATTTTATATGTCATATATATATATTGAAATAAGACATAGGAGTTGTTTTACAATGTTTTTGATAAAAGTTTTAGCAATTTTTTTATAAAAATTGAGAAAATGTGTGGTTGAAAAAGTTGATAAAAAAACTGTTGATCCATAGAATGTTTAAAATTGAAGTATGATTAAGATTTAGTACTTGTTTGGGAGGGATTTTTGGGGGAAGAATTGATTTTGAATAGTGATATGATGGGAAATGTGTGGTTGAAAAAGAAGAAAATATTATTAATGTGATGGAAAATATTATTTTATTGAAAAATGTGTGGTTGAAAATGAGAATTGATTTACTGTAGAATTTTGAGAATCCCTCCCAAACAGACCCTTAAACTTTTCGTTATTTTTATTATAAAACTTGCTAATTTTGAGAAAAATACTAGAGCTTGTTTGGGAGAGATTTTTTGGGGGAAGAATTGATTTTGAATAGTGATATGATGAGAAATGTGTGGTTGAAAAAGAAGAAAATATTATTAATGTGATGGAAAATATTATTTTATTGAATAATGTGTTGTTGAAAATGAGAATTGATTTACTGTAGAATTTTGAGAATCCCTCCCAAACAGACCCTTAAACTTTTCGTTATTTTTATTATAAAACCAATAACATCTCTCTCTTGCTTGTGTGTAAAATTGTCGAGTTATCTCTATTTCCCTAGATTAACATCAAGATTATAGCCGTTGGTCTGAAATGTGGGACCTATGCCGGAGAGAAATGGTCAAAAATGTGGATAATAACAGGTAAAAAATCACAGTTTTGGCAACAACAATTTGGGCTAGACATGCTCTAAATACGGAATTCATTTCGATGACCTGTGATAATACTCGATGACAAAAGATCTTTCTAGCGCTCAATAGGTTGGTTGGATTGATTTTTTTTCTTTACGTATATACGCGTGTGTCGACAACTTTAATTTTAGTAAACCTTATCCCAAAAAAAAATAAAAAAACCTCTAATTTTAGTAATCTAAAGAGTGGGAAATTTTAAATTCCCTACAGAACCCTTAGATTGAATTCGAATTGGATCTTTTGACAGTGATATTTATAATAATTTTAGTTATTAAATATCTAATATATTCTTTTATCTTTGGACCTCAACCTTCAAAAAGGAATATTGTTTTTCATCAAATAAATTTTTGCTTTTTAATTTATTTTCCGCTTGTGGAATCCTTTAGATTCTCATAATCCTTGTCAAGAAAATCAAAGACAGAAAATTGGGTGTAACTTTTTCTAATGATCTGCTGCTACGTGAGAGTCATCGCATGAAAAGTGTGTAATAACACAAGAATGCTTTTCCATAGATATCCCATCGCATAATAGGTGAAAATATGAGCAACGAACACGTTTTTTTTAGGGATTATTCCATCAGCTAATAGGTGAAAATATGAAAAGCAAATCTAGACGGCGGCCACGGTCTCGCCACCGGTGGCAGTGCTTGCAGCATCCTTCTTCGATACCATTGAACACTTCTCTTTTCTCTCATCCTGAGTCATCTGTTGTTGTCTACACTCTGAACTGCAAAAAGCACTATCTCCTCTGGACAAAATAAATTAAGGAACGATTAGGTCACAAATTCATTACCCTATCAATCTTGTATTTTGTAAAAGTTGGCAGTATTGCATATAAAATTAATTCAGAATTTTTTAAAGGATGATTGATCTTCGCTGCTAGAAAATAAATCCAGGCCAAGAAATTCTAGGGAGAGAATCTAAGTAAAAAGGAGGCTGTATATACCTATACATGTAGATGTCTCGACCAGGAATCAAACGGTGTTTACAGAGCGAACAAGCCCTCAAGAAATGAGCAGTTTCAATAAAATCTTCTGAGTTGCGGCGGAGGGGTCGAGGAGACACAGCAGAGGCGGCGGCGGACCTCTGATCTAAATCTCCACTATAAAATGGGTTGTGAGGATAAAACGGCTGATAATTAGCTGTTGTACCTTCACCAAACTTGGTGGCGCCGTCGATTTCCAAGTTGAACTCCGTCCTGCTTGTAGTCCTCTTCATTGGTGGACGCGGCCTCTTTCCTAACAACATATTACTCTTTTTCTCTATCTCCATCCCTTTATTGTATGTATATATCTGTAGACTTGAGATCGGTGATTGAGGAAGAGAGAGAAAATCGAGGTTTTAGAGAGAGAGGAGAGGGTAGGGGGAGTGAGAGTGGATTGTTGGGAAGATAAACGGAGAGCCAGAAACGGAGGAGTTAATCAGAGCCGTTGATTTGTTTATAATTTAAGAAGTTGCATTATTGTTGGAAAGCCATCTCAGCATCTATTTTTTTAATTGGTAGGAATCAACCGTTAACTCTTTTCCTAGTTTCATGGCTTAAGGGAATCCAAGTTAGTAATTTTTATTAGGTTTACATAATTTTATTTTATTTTAAAATATCCTACCTATATTCTCAACTTTACTTAGATAATCACCATTGGTTTCTTAAGGAAAATATGTCTTGTTTGATCCTCATTTTCATCTTAGGTTTCATGAGACCTATAATTTTTATCAAAATTTTAATGACATATTTTATCAATTTTATGAAAATGTAAAATTATGATTTTTAGTTAAACCAAACATATGCTACCATTGTTGTCACCTAGTTGTCCCTTCTTCCTCTGGTTTTCATTTTTTCAGTACTCCGTGTGGTTTCGATCGCACTTTAAGTGTTTTCGAATTTTGGTCTTTTATTGTTGAATTTTCTGGTTTTATTCTTCTATTTTAAGTAAAAACAAAAGTATAATCATCTTTCAAAACTTTCCCAATAATTTTTATTTATTAAGGGCTTACATTCAAGGGTATGATAGATTTAGAGTAATACATCTAATAAGATTTTAACTTATTTTTCTTTTTTACATTCTTCGTGATTCCGTCGAACATACACGTCACGATTGTTTTTTATCAAAGCTTTGAGATATCCATTGTTGATCATCCATTCAATACTCCAATGTCTGTACACATTTTTGAGTGTCCAATAAATAGTTGTGCATTTGCATACCTGTTACGAGCTTATGTCAGACCCACCACGTGTCAGTAGAGGTGGTCCACACCATACCACGTGTCGACCGAGGTGATTGTACATAGGATGAGCTATTTGTATATGCTGAAGTGATTACGTGGGGAACGAACTAAACACGAGTTAGCGAAGGAACCAGACTCATCCACAATTACACCGTGGATGCAAAGGCCAACACTTCCCTTCTACAACGCTACAACGCCTCTCATGCGTCACATCGCCTATCAAAGATCTCTTGCACACAGATCAATCCAAAGTCGAATCCCTTACTGATGGGATGTGGGCAGGACTTAAATAGTCAAATCAACTGCCTTTGTCAGAGATATTCAATGTCAGCCCACTTATGGAGGGACGGATTGACACTTAGAATAGGGTGAGCCCCGAAGATGTGGTAACACATGTCTTCTCATCCAACGACTTTCCTCTTCCCGGCAAATGTTCTACCACTGGCAAACCATAAACTGAATTGACCATCGAAGTGCTCGCGGCAGCTCCCAACCCCTCCGGGAAAGGCCACGGGTGACTAACGGTGTGCTACGGGTACAGGGAAGAGCTGACTTGAAGACTTATTCTGTTAGCTACGTGTCGGAGCCATTTTTTGAGGTCAACAATACCTTTGGTAATCCTCGTCCGTTGCGTTTCAAACTTTCCGTTCAGCCACTCATTCCCCTCAAGAGTTTTAATTTTATTACTCAATCGTGAGTGTTACTGTTACATATCGACCTAATGAATGAAAATACATACCAATGAAAATGAGAGGGGCACCATTTGCCACTAACATATCATTTAGTTACCTTGTCCGATTGTTGTAGAAGTACTCGACGTTTTGTTCGGCAGTGAAATTATTGAAAAGACTACAGAAGACGTAGTAACGAACATCGACGGCTGATCCGCTAACTCCACTTGCAAGAGGAAACAATTCTTTGAAATTATCAGAATCCAATCGATCTGCAAGCACGTTACACACTGTTTGAGAGTGTTAATTTGCGAACAGCATCACAACCAGCTCTGTAGAACTTGATTATTGTCTCTAAAGAAATTCCAGATGCAAGAGGCTCATTTATTAGTTCCACAGCTAAGAGGCTTGGATTTTTTGCATAATTGTTAATATTCATAAAAAGTATGAGAATTGTACTCGAATCAAATGATTCATTAGGATTCCCTGGCTGCAAGAAAGTTTATAACATCGTCGTTTGTTTAATGTCGTCATCAGTCAGTCCGTATTCGACGAAGGCATCTCTTGAACTGTGCTCGAAACCATTTTGTGAGCCAGGTGCAGCGTGCAGGTCAAGTATAACCTTAATTCCATATTTCTTTCTTAAGAACTTGACAACATTATAGGAAAGAAACGTGTGACAAAATTAAGTTTATTTTATTTTACCGGTACAAAATATCAAAATGTCATAAGAGGGACGGGAATGTGAAAAGTGTTACATACCGAGCCCATAGGAACGCGTTGTTTAAGTCTTTCAAGGATCCCCCTACATAAGGCATTGGGGACATCGGGTCGCTGGCTATCCACCATCCAACAGGAAATTCTCACGGGATTGTGTCCATTTTCGGATATGAAGTTGAAGTCATTTTCCACTATGGACGTGTTGTAATGTTCCTGCCAAAAATACCATTCAAGTTGTATCATAACTTGATCTTGATGCATTCACATTGGGGGGAAAAACCAGTAATTTGAACTCAATTTGTTAAAATCGAGGCATACCTTCATTATTTGTTTGAGGTGCTTTAGTGGGGCCACATCCATTGGTGAGTTGATGATCCCCTCGCAATTTTGTGCCTATTGTCATCAAGAAATCTGATGGATCATCATCGCCCCCATTCACCATTTCCTTCAGAATCAGCGCACTAACAACTTCCTGTGTCTTTGCCTGTATGATCAATTAATTAGATTTAAAGAGGGTCGATATAAGTTCACAATTATTAGTATAATTTTGAAATAAATATCTTGTTAAAATTATTGGTAACTTTTTAAGACAAATGGTATTGGGTCCCACAAATTACGGTTAATAAATGAGTCTTAGTTGTGATTGTATGGTTGATTTATGTTTTTCAAAAGTAAGTTACGTTTGTTTTTCACAATTTCACATGTCAAGTTGGCTACACAAATGGAATTTGTTATGAATGGCGTACAATGGGAGCGTACATAAATACATTACTCTTTATGAATCAAAGAATTCATGCTCATAATATAAATATAAATGAATAAATTTAAATTTTTTTTAACTTTTTAAATCACTAGATTGGTTCGATAAAGATAATTATGGCACCTTCAATAACATGGGATGGACTATATTAAAGAAAAAAAAAACTAAAATTTATATATATTGTATTAAGAAATCCTACTCAATTTTGCATACTGAACATTAATTCATTTTGTTCTACGACATTAACGGAATTTCTTTGAAAGTACAAAGCTCACTTTAAAATGTTATCTTATCCTCAGAAGTAGTGGGATTGGCAAAGTTTCCAAAGAATCGAATCATATTGGTACTTCTTTCCATCCTCCTTTGCATCTAAAATACTATTCTATATTTCTATTGCTAAAACTCGAGCATTTTCCTTAAAACTCGCTAGTTACAATAAATTTTAGTACTGACCTGAAGGAAGAACTCGTTGGATGCTTTGATCTGAACCCGATTTGAATCATCAGGATTGCTCACAATCCCAAATGTCTCAGATGTATTGAACAGGTACTATATCATTCACATTTCTAGCATTGTCTAATCCCACAAATTGTTTGTTGAAAATCCTGAAGTGAAAACTAGTCTCATTGATCCTCCATATCTGCATGAAATCAAAAAATAAAGATGAAGAAAATTGGATGCTTGTCATTGTTGTCGGATATTCGACTACCGCAATCAAAAGAACAAAGAAAATAATAGGAAATAACAGTAGAAGATGAAGCGAGGTATGCCAAGGCAAATCTCCTTAAGACAGATTTCGCCCCCCAACAACGTGCAAACGGGATTATGGACGTCTGTCTCCCAAGATACAACGCTTCTTTCAAAGTCGATATTGCACAATACCAATCTTGTCGGTCGAACCAAAGAATGAACGTACTCGAACGGAATAACAACGAAAATATCATAGGAATTTATGCAGAATATAGAGAGAGAACGAATTTAAAAATCAAGAATATATTAATTGATTTAGTGTCCAAAAAACGAATCTGAAGGTCTCTATTTATAGAGATTGAAGCGTCTCATTGAATGGGTGTGTAACATTTCATGAACTAGTGCACCACTTGGTCTGATATGTTCTAGCCATTGGATTGCACTATTTCATGATCTGACGGACCAGATTAAACCACAAAGTGTGGTGTCCATTCATCATGCCTATTCACCAATTTCTGAACAGTCACCAGCCATGCAGATGCCACGTGTACGTCCAACTGAACCAACTGCCACGCAGGACTAAGTGACGTGTGTGCCACCTAGGCTGCCAACTCATCGAGCCTCCCGATGCCATGTCATCGAACCATGAGTCCATTTCTGAAAACTTTAAGGCTCCACAGCT